TCTTATATTACAATCTTCCCTCTCCCCTCGGCCTTTCTCCTTTCCCCTTTCTGCCTTGCTCTTCTCCTTATTTTTTTCTAGTCTTACATGCTCGCTCGCTATCTCTCTCTCTCTCTCTCTCTCTCTCCCTTCACCTGTTTCATTCCTTGTTCTTCCAATCCTCTCTTCCTCATTTTCTTTATGTATTTATCCCCTACCTTCTTCCCTTCCCTTTCCTTCTATTGTTTTCATTTTCCCTCCCTTCGTCTCTTCCTTCCTTCCTTCCTTTTCTATTCTGCTCCTTTTCCCATCTATCCTCTATCCCTCACCCATTCCCCTTGCCTCCGAAACCCCCAAATCCAACCCCTCTTCTACCCACTAACCCCCTCCTTCCCCAACCTCCACCCCACTCTGTATCCCTCACCACAACCACAACCATAACTCGCCCACCTCAACCAAACCTAACTTAACCCCATCCCCTACCCACCCCTTCCCCCACCCTTTACCCACCCCTTACCCCACCCACCCATCCCACCAATTTCCCACTCACTCGCCCACTCACCCACAACGCCCATCCATCGCTACCCTCGCCCACCTCTGCACACCATCCATCCCCTCCCCCTGATAAACCCCTTACCCTCCCACCCATACTCTAACCCCTATTTACCTCTTGAACCAACACGACCCCTTCTCACTTCCTGACCCAACCCTGACCCCCAACGACACCTCTTGGGCCCTCCTGTCCCAACTCCTGACCCCAATGACAGCTCCTGACCCCCCCTTGACCCAACCCCTGACCTCCTGACCCAACCCCTGACCTTCGGAACCAACCCCTGACCCCCATGACACCTCCTGACCCCTCCTGACCCAAATCTTCCCCCTCTTGACCTAACCCCTGACCCCTCCTCACCGTCTGACCCAACCCGTGACCTCCTGACCTAAATCTGCCCCCTCCTGACCCAACCCCTGACCTCCTGACCCAACCCCTGACCCCTCCTCACCTCCTGCCGGACGAGCCTCGCGAGCGGCTTGGGCGAAGTCATGATGATGCCCGTGAGCACCAGCAGCGCCGCCACCAGGAGCTTCTCCCTGTGCCGCACCCACACGCGTCGCAGCCTCATGATTTCGGCGTAACCTCAGCTGACCCGTCACGCCCTGCAACGCCCGTCCACGCCCGTCAAAGTTACGTCTGTGTACGCCCTTCTTCTTTTTCTCTTCTTCCTTTTCGCTTCCAGCTCCACCCTTCTCTTCGTCCCTCCTCTTCGCGCCCCCGCCTCCTCCCTCTCTCGACCTCTCGTTCTCCTCTGGGAAGGCGGGGTCACCTGCCAAGAAGAGGAAAATGGAAAATTTACATATATATACATACACACAAACACACACACAGACACACACACACACACACATACACTTACACATACCAACACACACACACACACACACACACACACACACACACACACACACACACACACACACACACACACACACACACACACACACACACACACACATACACATACACATACACATACCCCCCCCCCACACACACACATACACACATACACATACACATACACATACACATACACATACATATACACATACACACACACACACACACACACACACACACACACACACACACACACACACACACACACACACACACACATACATGCATATATATATCACTGAAATATATAGTAGTTTCTAAAATGCCACTCTACTCTTGCCATTCTTGACAATGATGGAAATAAAACGATTAAGATATAGTTCGACAATAAAAAAAAAAATATTCGAGGATGAAATATAAAATGTTATTCTCATCATCGTTTTTTATATCTGTTTTTACGCTCACGTGGGTCTGACGAAAGAAATAATATATGTAATGAAAGATAATGCATACAACACACGTAAACAGAAACGCACACACACACACACACACACAAAGACTCAGGAATACCAACGCACTCATACGTGTCATGGGGCAAGTGCATGACATGCCTGGAGCCGTTGCAAACCGATGATCATGCAGGCAAGGTCATTCCTCTGCGTTTCTTCACTAAAGCTTCACACCAAAGGCAGTATGGCATGTGCATTGATTATGGAGAAGCGAGTGGGAGTTGGTCTGGTGAGTGAGTGAGTGAGTGAGTGAGTGGGTGAGTGAGTGGGTGAGTGAGTGGGTGAGTGGGTGGGTGGGTGGGTGGGTGGGTGGGTGGGTGGGTGGGTGGGTGGGTGGGTGGGTGGGTGGGTGGGTGGGTGGGTGAGTGAGTGAGTGAGTGAGTGAGTGAGTGAGTGAGTGAGTGAGTGAGTGAGTGAGTGGGTGAGTGGGTGAGTGGGTGAGTGGGTGAGTGGGTGAGTGGGTGAGTGAGTGAGTGGGTGAGTGGGTGAGTGGGTGGCTGGCTGGGTGGGTGAGTGAGTGAATGAACGAATGAAGAGGGAGGGAGTGAATGAGTGAGTGTGAATGAATGAAGAGGGAGGGAGTGAATGAGTGTGAATGAATGAATGAATGAATGAAGAG